AATACTTAGCAATCACGAAAAAGATAGTCAAAATTCTTCGGCAAATACAGATAAACTTTCATGTTTATCTGTATTTTATTCTACATTTTCCTAAGAAAGGAAAAAAGACAATATAAAAAGTATAATTATAAAGATAATTATAAAAATGCATGTATATCTATTTTTGCATTTCATTGCGCAAATATCGCTTGTATATTTGTACAAAAGAATCATATCGTATAAAAAATGTATACTTTATTAATATATTTATTTTAAAAAATTACAAATTAATTATATTTAATTCGTTCATCCAAACTATTTGGAAAAATCCTTATTGGAAAATTAAATTCCCATTTCATAACACGGAATTTCGGTAATTATTCCTAATAATTCCTAATAATTATTACGCAAACTTGAGCATCATTTCGCGATAATTGTAGTTTGTGCTAATGTCAATGCAATTTGAAGAGCCAGCCACACTGAGCACTTTATGTGGTGTTTCTTGATGTACTACACTATAGACTGTGAGACTCGAGGTGGGAACTTTGGCAAGAATGTCGCCTTGATATGTCATATGATGAACGTGGTCAGTCGATCCTCCAGCGATCACGCGTTCTTCATAGATTTCTGCTACATGGATTCCTTGATCAGCCAAATCGAAAATTGTCGCTACCTCCATCGTTCGTACGTGCCACAATGATAAACTAGGCCCACCGCCACACAGCTAGAATTATTATAATCAGAATATAATTAAAAATTAATTTAGATACAATTCATTTCCTTTTAATTATTTAATATCCTTCCTTTCTGATAAATATTCTGATAAATATATCATTGTTACTTACCAACCAGTCTTCCGTGAAATCAACAGCACCAATCCATTTTCCAAGTCGTGGTCGAGCAACTTTATCTATTAAATGAGGCGTTAATATATTAGTGTTTTCCCTTTTGCGCAAATCCCATAATCTCACAGAACCATCCTCGCTACAGGATGCAAGCTGATTATCCCTAAAATTCGTGAAAATCTAAATTATAATAAATCTAAATAATAACCAGTATAACTTTTGTATAATGTAGTTCTCATAGTCATTATCAAAAAATAATTACATCATGGCAAGGCAGTGTATGTAATCAGTATGGCCCTGCATGCTTCTCAGAATCTTCCTGCTCTCTAAGTTTATGATATAAATATTATTATCACCACATCCAACATACAGTAAATTATTCATTTTTGAATACAGCATGTAATTTATATCTGGCTTATCGTAATTGTCTCTGAAAGGAAATACATATTTTGTTTTTTTTATTCTAAAAGATGAATATACTAAGTTTATAATTTACAATTCTAAACACATCACAATTTTTAATACATTTTGTTTTAATTATATTCTTTTAATGTCACTTACTTATTAGCAGGAATTTGTATATTCCATGATACTTTACTCTTAGGAGCCTTATTCGATGTAACTATCTTCCAGTCCCATCCTGATATTTCACCACGTGTTCCTGTCACAAGAAAATTCTCCATAGAGAGCATACATGCAACTTCCTGATCAGGATGTGCAGCAAAGCGATAACTGGGTCCTTGTAACTCATTCTCTTTGTTGGGCCCTAAGGCCTTTGACAGACTATTTGAAAATTTAGAAAGCATTAAATTAAGTAATTTAAAAATAAGGCTGTTTGCCTGATTTCAAAGACTAAGTATGTACACATCTTAACTATTTTCAACTTCTTGCAGAAAATTGCATAAGTATTGCAATAATATACGTTACACTGGAAACAAAATTTCTCATTGAAAAATTTCCTTACTCAAATATTGAGATGTCCCCATAAATATTGCCAGCCAGAAGATAATTTCCATCGGGTGAGAATGTTTGTGATAATACGGTGTTGTAAAGTAACTTCTTGTCAGTCGATTCTATCATTCTCTCCACAGTTTATTACACATACACGTACACAATCAATCGTTTTCCTCTCTAATATTTTATCATAATATTAGCAACTTAAAAGTTCTTTTTACACAAGTCTTGCAAACAAAATTATCGGACAATTAACGTGCAGCAAAGTCGAATGTTTACCAAAGTATTTTTAGGTTAGGGTTAGAGAATTAGATTAGGTTAGGAAAACATCGCAGAGCTTTAAAAGCCTTATCGTTTTTGAAAATTAAAGAAATATTTATAATGATAATAATAAATTCAAAGTTCGCTTTAAAAAGGGAGATTTAACTGCGAGCAAAAAAAGCTGAAAATTTTCGCGCATTGAACACGGTCCACAAATTTTTTATATCAATTTCTTTAAGCCTGATTGTTTCCAATATTGTAAACGCAAAACGATTATGACGTTATATACTTTATGCGCAAAACAAAGTAATTATATAAAGAAAAGAATTTCTACGTTGATAACGCGTTGATAAATGATAACACGATAGCGAAAACAATGATAACCTTGTCGTATTCCGCGCGATTTTGCACTGATCATGTGACCACCGTTTTACGAATATCAGTGAACGTTCCAGTCAGTCAGTCAGTCTTGTTATAGTCAAAATATATATGCCCAAAATTCCGCGAATCTCTTTCTCTCAGCACCGGCCCCGGGTTCAGTCAAATTCGAAGTTCGACATCATCTGAGGTTAGCTCTTGTTCTTCACATTTAGAAAGCGAAAAATTATACTCCAAATGGCACACACCACAAGACTGCTCGTGACAGCTGGCAATTTCCTAAAAAGTGCCAGCAATCCCATCTCCATGACTGCGAGATCCTCTTGGTGAGTTTTCGCCGTTCGATCTAAAACGAATGACCTTTCGACCTTCATAAAATCACCCAGTGCATGCTTTTTTCATTGGAGATACGATTGCATTACCATTATCTGTGGATCGAAATTGGAGTCTTAATTTTATTCTATAGCTTATCTATTTTAATAATCAAGATTTCGAGATATGTATAGTCATAAAATTGCAGAGAAGTATTAAGAATCAGCACAGCGAGAAGATCAATTAATTTAATTATGTAATTGAAAATATTTGAACATGTATATCTACTTTATGTATAAAAAGTCATAAAAGATTTGAGCAAAAGAAAAAAAAACAGAAAGAAACATCTAAGTTCCTTTTAATTGAATTAAATTATCTTTTATAAATTCAAATTTCTATCCAATTGTTTTTTAACTTACATCGACCTTGAAAGATAAGGTGCATGAAACGGAATGCACTCTTAATATTCTATCTTCTTGGTATGAAATCAAATAAACTACATGATAATGTAGTAAGCAATTTGTTTAAAACACATATGTTATACAGTTCATGGTGGTCTCATGTTGAAATGGGACCACCAGATGCCATTCTGGGAGTCACTGAGGCATACAAGAGAGATCAAAATTCAAAAAAAATCAATTTAGGTGCTGGCGCTTATAGGGATGACAATGGCAAACCGTATGTTCTTCCGAGTGTTCGGAAGGTTAGTTATAAAGATCAATTTTAGAAGAGAAAAATTAATATTATATATAGATATAATGATAAAATTGTGTAGATAATTATTATATAATATTAATTAATGTAGAAAATTATTATATATAATAAGTATAATAGGTATACAATTTTATTTATTATAAAATATAATACAAAATTTGTATTTTGGATTAAATAACAGGCAGAAGAGAAAATACGAATTAAAGAAATGGACAAGGAATACTCCACAATTGCTGGTAATATCGAGTTTTGCCAGCATAGTATTAATCTAGCTCTTGGAGATGGAAATGAAGTTGTTGCAAATGGATTGGTAAATATTATAATGACAATAATATGTAAAGTTTTTTCTTAACAAAGATTTTTCTTTTTAGAACGCAACAGTCCAAGGAATTTCCGGTACTGGTTCTCTCTTTATTGGAGCACAATTTCTGTCTCATTATTTTCCTGGCAATAAGGACATTTATTTACCAACTCCTTCATGGGGGAACCACAATCCTCTATTTAAACTTGCCGGGCTTACAGTCAAATCTTACCGCTATTATGATCCAAAAACGTGTGGTTTAGATTTTAAAGGAGTAATGGAAGATATATCAGTTAGTACAAGATTTTTTAATAAAAGGAATAACTATTATTGTAAATATTAATGCATGCATCGGTAGAATATATCTAAAAGATAAATATTAATCATAAAATTTTATATCGAATTATTTAAAACTATAACAACTAATATTTATGTACTAATGTAAATGTTTTCTAAATATTAATAATGTAATTTCTAACAAATATGAATAATAATTACAATTGGGCAGAAATTTTACGAGACATATTGCTCATAAAATCAATACATGCAGCATTACATTAATTAACATTAATAATTCTGAATGAATTAATATTTTATCATACTAATGATTTTATCTGTGAATAGAATATTCCTGAGAAATCAATTATCCTTCTACATGCATGTGCTCATAATCCTACTGGTGTCGATCCCAAACCGGAACAATGGGGAGAATTGTCTACTCTGATTAAGAAGAAGAATCTGTTCCCATTTTTTGACATGGCATATCAAGGCTTTGCCTCAGGTATTTTTAAATGTAATTTATAATAGTATATCTATTACTATTAACCTTACAATACTTTATAATTTTAATACTAGTGCACTCTAACATTTTTTATAATTTTACTTATTTCATTTTTCTGTAGGAGATCTTACAAGAGATGCTTATGCAGTTAGACTATTTATTAAGGAAGGTCACAAAATTGCTTTAGCTCAATCCTATGCAAAGAATATGGGTCTTTATGGTATGTACAAATAAAAATATACTATATGTATATGTAAAAATTACACACACACACACACACACACACACACACACACACACACACAAAAAATATATAAAGTTAAAAATATATTTTTTCTTTTATTTCTTTAGGTGAGCGCATTGGATCGTTCAGTCTAGTGACGTCTAGTAAAGATGAAGCTGCACGCACTTTGTCACAACTGAAGATTCTGATTAGGCCCATGTATTCAAACCCACCCATTTACGGAGCTCGTATAGTTAATGAAATCCTCAGCAATCCTGAACTGCGAAAGGAGTGGTTACACGATGTAAAGGGTATGGCCGATCGCATCATCTCGGTTCGCACAAAGTTGCGTGATAATCTGAAAAAGAACGGTAGCACTCGTAACTGGTCTCACATCACCGATCAAATCGGGATGTTCTGTTATACTGGTCTAAAGCCGAACGAGGTAATCTTTTTTTCTGTATTAAGACCTAAAATATACTATATGTAATAATGTTCTTTAAATAAGAAAATCAAAATAAATTACAAAAATAATTATAGTATCATTATGATTAATTATCGGTTTTTATTGTTGATTTGTTAACAGGTAGAAAAACTTACAAAGGACTTTAGCATTTATTTGACTAAGGATGGCCGTATTTCCATGGCTGGTGTAACGTCGAAAAATGTAGAATACTTGGCACATGCAATGCACGAAGTTACCAAGTAACTTACTATTTGACAATTAAATATACTATCATTTCATCCGAAACCGCCCTGTCATTATCCAATGATAATATATAGCGCTCACAATCTATTTTATACAAACTGAGCAAGTGGAAGTGACAATTTTTATCAAAATAGAAAAATATATAGAAAACCACGCAGCACGGATATGAATCTTTTTCAAGTTTATACAGTCAATATTTATTTTGATTTATATGTGATAAATATATCAAACATCCATTCGATTTTTAAATATTCGCGAATAACAATCTATTTGTTTTTGTGCAAATGTCTTGTACAACAGTAAATAATTGGATATCAATTATATAGTTTGATATATGTATATTATACAGATATTTATCTGAATTATTAATGTATAGATTTAAATCAAAGAATTATTTTTTATTTTTACAATAGTTTAGATATTTTAATATAAAAATGATAAGTATATATATTTTGACATTTGTCTTTAAAAAAAATTTTTTTTATTATATATCTGTGCTGTATGGAGATGAAATAATTGTATTTTATATAATTCATATTATAATGCGAATATTACAATGTGAAATGCGAGTGAATAGTACGAATTGCGAACATTCAAATGTTGAACATTAATTGCAGCTGTGTATATTAGATTCCAGTAGAAAATGCTCGTTTTGTAATGCAATTTATTTTTATATCTAACTTCTAATTAAAAATTTTTTTATTCTTAAATCATTGAAATCGAATATTTCCTCTATTCTAAATTCTTTTAGTGAGAGATGTCCATACTTAATTGTGAATGATACAAAAGTGTCTAATCCTTTTTCATTCTAACAATTATGAGAAAAATAGGAAATAATGTGACATATGAGATAGCACAAAGATTTGTTTAAATAAAATTAATAGACTTAGAACAGAGGAAAATTTTTAGAATAAAAGAAGATAGACTGTGTTTTATATTTTCGCCATTTATAAGCTTCTGAAGAGCTTTATTAAAGATATCAAGTTTCTTGTAAAGTTTATATTGTAAAAAATATAGTATATGTAAAGATCATATTAATATTTTCCTCACTTACTTACTGTCTTATTTTCCTGCAATTTGAATATGATTACATTTAAGAAAAAAATGCAAGTTTACTGTAATTGTATACTTCGTTTTTTACACTCTATATATATATATATATATGTATATATGTATGTATAATGTATATATATATTTTTGCTACATGTTTTGTGCTAAAATATATTGAAGTAAGATTATTGAATAATGAAGGTTTTATATTTCAATGATCAAAAGAAGCAAGTAAAATGTTTTATATGTACATATGTACAATCCTAGTAGTAGAATTATTGGCACAATATTAGCTCAGTACCTGATCCTATAATTTTTATAAATCATTTATAATGGAAATAATAATCGAAATAGTAAGTAATAAGCTGTAAGAAATTGATCAACATAATCGATTATTAATGCCTGCAGCATCGCAGTCAATATTGTATAGTATTGATTCAATACGATAGCAAGAATCTAATTCAGCTAGCAATCCAGTAAGAAAACAAGCATCGTGTATCATCAGAAAATACCCTGCTTGGCTTGTAGCTCCTTTTTTATATAATTGTTGAAAAAGAAATACATTAAGCAAACCATGGCACATTGCTATATAATCGGAATCTATTTCAAATTCAAATAATTCCATAATACCCAGAGTCGGGTTAGAGTTAGGTTGGCTTGCATGTTTCCACCGAATCAGAAGGTCTGTTTGCATTGCTTGAAATCCTCAAATATTTTTTAATTAAACATGAGAAATATATATTTGAGCTCTGATTTGAGCGTTGAAAAAAGAGAAAGCGAGGATGCTGAGTACATACAAAAGAAAAGTACAAACTACAATAGGAACAGAGAATAAAAGATTTCAACTTATTAGGAAGCGTCTATTCTATTATCGGAAATGATAGAAAAATGACTTTTACTGATCATTTTGATATCATAATAACTTGTTCTGCTTGGAATCGTGTGAGAGTGGTTCACTTGCACACTGTTGCAATTGTCCACTGTCAATCACAGCGACTTCTGCGTAGGAAGTTTTTATACATATTTTTATTTTAGCAGTGGGATTGATTTGTGCGCAATTAGCTTGTGTGCAATTGATATAGATCTCTATTGTGTCTGCACCCAGCGTGCGTAAATTTTCGAAAATGCTTTGTGTTCAATACTTACATATTTTACATTTTTACATAATGTAAATGTCCCATACAGTAAAGATCATTCTACAGAGCAATATTGCAGGAATATTGCAACATTCTAAAAATATCTAGTAATAGTCGCAAACGTAACAGCAAGCTTCTATGCTGTATGGAGTAATAACGAACTATGCAACAATAATTAAATAGAAATAATTGAATACAACATAAGATTATACATATTTTTGTTTTCGTTTACAAAGTTAGCATAAATGCTCGAATTTGAACAGTTCTCGATTATTTCGTGTGTGTAATACTCATTTAATTTTATGCCTTATGTTCTTCAGTAACGTGTTAATTTGCATCTGCAAACGGCTGCGACTCGCCAACTGGATGATAGGGCTGGACAAAAGTAGTAGTCTAATTATTTAAAAACGTTTACTTAAAAATACAATCTTTTTAAACATAAATGGCAATACGAATGATTAGAAAGAGGAAAAAACATGATTCTATTACTTAAGATTCTACTGCGGAAAATGACATTCTTTATCGGCACCGATCACCAAACAGCGGTAGTTTGTCAATTTTCCGTTTCATATGCGGGTTTCCAACCCTCTTGCCGTATTTGCTCTTTAATCGGCTGAAAATCCGGTTGTGTAGCACCCGAGCAATAGATCTCTGAATGAGACTGGCGACAAATAATCACGCAAAAGTGATATATTTCGCTCAACCGTAGCTCTTGATTGACGATTTCCACTTTACATAAAACAATTCTATATGCTCCAGATTAACACCTAGAAGTAAACGTATATCAAATAAATATTAAGTTTTGCTGTAAGAATGAGTCTTAAATTTATATTTTTTCAAAATTATAATTTTGTAATATAATTGTAGAGCGATATTATATACAAAATTATTGAGACACCGATTAAAAATACTATGTAAAATTTTTTTTCATAAATCCATGTAATTATTGGGTTGGCGAGAAAATAATTGCGTTTTTTTAAAAGACATCTATCAGTAAAAACCGTAATTACTTTCTTACTAACCAATATAAATATATCTTGATAGAGTAAAGTTTCAGCTTTAAAAATCTCTTTTAAATTACGATACGACAATTTTTAATGGAGTTATGAGCAATTAAAGTCAAAATAATTCTTTTATTTAATCCGCGATAACTCAGTAACCAAAAATCGTAGGAATATTAAAAAAAAAAAACGATTTTGTAGGGAAAGTATCAAGCTTTCACGATAGGTAATCGAAAATTTTCTCAAATTCGTTTTGGACACGTTACAAATCCACAAAGTGAGAAAAAAATTTTTCGTCTTTTTCAGCTCGTAGTTTTTGGTATGTAAAAATTACCAAACTCATATAAACTTAAAAAATGTGATAAGCTTTTAAAAGTAGAGATTTCAAGCTTTAAAACCCTTTTTTTAAATTTGAATTTCATTCATTATTGACGAAGATATTGTATATACAACTTTGAGCTAAAAAATACCGCAATCACTTTCTCGCCAATCCAATAATTTACTATTTGCATACCATGTATATATATATGTATATATACACATGCATGCACGCACGCATACATATAGAACCAATTGATTAGTTGATCGCTTTATGGTTAGCATTCTAGGAACAAAAAAAATACGAAAGTGATAGCTACCTGCACTTTCTGCTAATCCATCAGGACTAAAATCCAAAGCTCTTCTATCGTCTGGCTTACAACCAGTCAGGAGAGTCACAACAGGTACCTCTCCGTCACCAGTAAAACCAACCTTCGCTTCCTGAGTCAGATAGTAACAACACTCTATTATCTGAAAAAATAACCATGCTTCCTTGTCCTTCGGTTTTGGTTCTGTTATTAACGGCGGCGCCAAACGTTCATGTGGTCTCTGCGCCCGTAAGAACCTTGAGCCACACCTCAGTTGCACCTCCAGCCATCGTGTCGCTTCTCTCGCCTGAGCGCTTACACGTTTCACCTCGTCCAGAGCAGAAACAACTATTAAATACAGTTTTATATAAATAATAGACAATAAAATAATTTCTGTATTCATTTTTTTAATACAATTCTTTCATCTTACACTTTGAACACAGATTTACTTACCAACCGAAGGAATCACCACAACAAATATTTTTGCTTCCACTAAGCGTTTAAGAGCCGGCGTATGCTTGGATAAAGCTTTGTGATCGGGAACAAGATACGGCGACATCAATCGAGATTGTACTTGACTCTCTAAAGCTCGAACCTCGGCATTCAACCACAATTTGCCCATGTGTTTCATAAGTTTCTGTTTCGAGTGTTCCGGCCCGAAATTTTTCTCATCTAAACCTATTACCTTTGGAGCGTTTGAGGAGTTTTCGTCCGTCACCGCGAACAATCGCTGAGTCTGATCGTATTGTACTTTTGAATTCTCAACAGAACAGAGATGGTGTCCGAATTCAATTAGCTTCAATACTCTCAGCAGTATTTCTTCCCGCTTGTTCATTTTGTGTTTACGAAGTATTTGCCAATTGAGAGCTTTATGAGCATTTTCTAGTAAATTTAACCCACGAAGATCAATGTCCTCTGGTAGAGGTACAATCTTCGTGTACTCTTTCAGTTTCTCCACACTGGATAGAATCGAGAAATCTTCGCTTCCCTGCACAAGAGTTTCAATATCCATATTGATTAGATTTAATAGGATCGTAACACGTTTCAATAATGTTCGCGAACTCTTGGCGCATATCCTCACAATGTCAGGGTTACTTCGAAGCCAATCGCAACATACTTTAATAGACACAAGAATCTCCTTATCAATCAATATATTCAAAATGTCATCCGATTTTAAGCTTTGCTTTTTCAACTGTGCCATATAAAAGATGTTGTCCGCATTGCATAAACGATCATTACCTTCCTCGAAGGTATTAGACGAGTCAGTATTCGTGATAGTCACAGCACTGCTGCTCACAGAATTAATTACAGAATTTTTATCACTCAGTGCTTTCGAACCTGTCTGCTGATTGGTCGCGTGCTGTTGTCCGTTAACCAAATGGTTTATACCGTTCTTATCACAATCCTCCGTTTTGTCGGTAATATCGCTGCCATGGCCGTTCATCTCTTTTTTCGCTGGCTGCGCTACATTTTCGATAGTCTGAATCTTACTTTCTGGAGATGGTTCTTCGTCATCTGTATTATCGTCCGACAATGCATCGTTTCCCTCACTCAACACGTCGTCTTCCGTTTCAGACACATCAGAGTTGATTTCGTCACTGGACGACGCTAATGTTGACTGATCTATGTCGCTCGCATCTGAATCAGAGCTAGTTCTTTTTCGTCTACGAAGCTTGCTGAGAAGACTTTTCGATTTGTTGCGAGTTTTTTTGGGGCCTGATTTATTTGTGAATCCGTTATCAGACGACTTAATTTTGTTAGTCTCATGTAAATTGAGTACATTATTGTCTTTGCTAAAAATAGAGTCTTTTTCTTTCACGTGATTTCTGTTATCTCCTGATTCAGATAATGCTTGATTTTCCTGTGCATTTTTTAATTTGGAACAAGTATTTCCCTTCATAGTTGCTTCTACATTAGGCACAGCCATTTCTATGATCATTTCTTGTAGTTTTCTTATTATAAACTCTAACAATTGTGACAGTATCGCTAAAGTTATAGCAACGACGCCCTGTACTTCGTTGGATTCTTTATTTTTTAATCTAGAAATTGACATTAAACATATTGTCACGATCTTAAACACCATATCATCTGTTAAATAAAGCATTGGTCTGTTTTTACAATTTTGAAGATATGTTTCTATGTTATCCATATTTTCAAGAGAATTTGTATTATTTGGCTCAATGTGATCCATTGTTAAGCACTTCTCTATATCAGTTAAGAGATCCTGTTAAAAAAAAATTAACCACCATCGTAAATTGTAAAAATGTTGTCATGTAAAATTCAAAAATATCTATAAATATCTTAACGTCAATTAAATACCTGGCATTCTTGATTTATTTTATCAGAATTTGGATTTTCATAATCCCATAAACGTAACAAAGAAAATAATCGCGATACACAATGATGGACAGAATTGCTTTCATCTGTATAGGTCGACTGAGTTATTACAATTTTCTTTAAATTTCCTTCTGCTCCTTCAAATGGCTCAGGACACAAAACGCTGCAAAATAATTAAAATTATAATCAGTATTGATTAAAAAATATTTACATATTAATAGAAAGAAAATAAAATTACTAGGATACAACTTATTATCGGAAAATGTATTAACATTGCCATTAAATTAGTTATTAAATTATTGACACCAACCTTCTCATATAATGATAAACTGCATCTAATCCATAATTTTTATTGCCTGCTATAGTACCAAGTTGATTGTGAGGCATACCAATGTTTGGATCAATAGCTATAGCCATCTTATAATACCTGTTTGCTATCATTGGATCCCAGTTTGAATTTAATTCTAATTTGTACCTACTCAAGTCTCCAAGGCATACTAAGCTTCGATGGATCAAGCGCATGACACACTGTTTGAGCTCCTTGGTATGAGTTTTAGTTTGCCCTGTCTTAGTTCTTGCCTACCACAAATTTAGAATTGTATTACATTACATATTATATCTTACATAACTATCATATAATTTGTATATAATATCACAATTAAAAATCATAATAATTAATATACTTTTAACATAAGACTTTTGTTTCCTAACCAGAATAAATTAAGTGAAATATTAAAAAATTTTCTTACGTATGATGAAATACTTTCGTTTTGAATGAAAGCAAAATCAACAACACCAATAAGGTCTAGATCGTATTCAGTTTGCAGTCTCATTATTAGATGATGATAATATCCCACACCCACTGCCAAATGAATCGAAAGCAGCGTTTTTTCCATATCATTCCAGGTGTTACCCTAAAATATTGTTAATGATTATTTCTTATTATTCTATATTTTAAAAACTTGTATATATTCATATATACTTAAAATAAATAAAATATACTATACATGTATATAAAATATATAAAAATTATAATGTGTATATGTATATATATATATATTAATTTCTATATATTTTACTCTGAAATCTCAAATATATAAAATCTCTTCCATATGCGTTAGATATATGTGAGTAGCGTGAGTGGAAGGTAATGGTAGAACCATAGTTCTTAATTTCATGATTTAGAGATACTCCGAATTTCATGATTTAGAAGTAAAAATGAAGATATTCAGAACTCTGAATCACTATTATTTTAGGCAAGAGGCTTATTGTCAGCTTCAATTTTTAATATATCACATTATAAATATTACCTTCCGTAACTTCTTGGCTGTGTATACAACATCGTAGAAGGCCTTTCTCCAGAGAAGCTCCTCTATTTTATGCACATTTCCAATAGGGTCTTTTAATATCAGTCTCTCGCAATAATCCTTAAGTTTCATACGCTGAATTTTTCCAGATGAAAGAAATATGTCGCTTACTGTCAGGGCACGATTCTTTTCCTCATCCAATTTCTTAACGATCTCTGTCACGCTTCTTAACAAAACAAATAATAAAATGTACATTTAAAGAGCGAACCAGCATATTTTGCATCACGTGTGAAGGTCATTATCAAAAAGATACACGTTTCACTGTACAATTTTTTTCATTTACCAGTAAGATAATCTATTATCATATCCAATGTTAAAAGTACAGTAGCATTAATCAGATGTTTTTCCAATTAAGAATGAATCAATCATGCCTGATATATCGGAAACCGCGCAAAATTCATCGAGAAACGTGTGAAAAACCAAGCATGGCGATTGAGACGACGGGTTAGGTTCACGTCTCTCTCGAAATCTCTTTGTTTCCCTAAGATCGTTACGAAAGTACCTCTTTTTTTTTTACCACGGTAAAGATAAAAAATAATACTTTCACAGTAGAGTATTTTATTTCCACGCAGAGAAGCGGAGGGACTTACTTGTGCAGACGTCTCGTGACTTCGAGGCAGTCCGTTGTTCGGGCCTCCACCGTGGCGTTAAACGTTCTTCTCATTTTGCGTTACTCATGACCCGCGTTCCGGCCGACTCGTCGTTACTCATTGCCCTGCCGTCCCCTGGGACGCGCATCTCCTCCGAAGACTCAGAAATCTCGACATTCGTCGCCCGTTCGTCGACACACCTCGTCGCTGCTACCTGTGCAGTGTCCACCAGTGCTCACTTTCTCTTTCCGCTGTTCCAAACGTAACACCCGTGACACCCATCCACTATCCACTGCCCGTTCAGTCTGGTGAATCTGATCCAGTCCGTCCACGACTGCAGTACACTTAAGCCTATTGTACACTGGACGCGATGAACAATGCGATATCCAATGAGAGCTCTGCTTTGCATCGTCAAGTGATAAAAAGCAGAGCTTTCATTGGATATCGTCGCTCACCGCGTCTAGAAATCCTAGAAATAAGAATCCGATACCGCAAAAACTCCCTACTATGATCATTGTGTTTTCATTTGAAAGTACCGGTTATTTGTCAAGTGTTCGACGTTAGTTAGTTTGATAAAAAAGTAAACAAGTTAGATACAATAAATAGACATAGAAAAGGAGATTTTTTTAAATAATATATGAATGTACAAATAAAAGATGAAGTCTATATACTTTTCGGCTAG